CCGTTTTTATGATAATAATGTTGTTGTTGATGGTGCTAGTGTTAGTGTTGTTGCTGATGTTGCTGTGGCTGTGCTTGCGGTTGCATTGTGGTTGGGCTTGCGGTTGCGGTTGTGGTTGGGGTTGTGTTTATTATTATGCACGATGCGCGTGTGTCTGTGTGTGGGGGTCGAATATCTATACTACCTATGCTTGCATAATGCCTGTGAAACGTAGGTCACTGAACATGCTTTTTGGTATTCTTACCGCCTTAGCCTTCGATATATATATATATATATAGATTCCCGGAATTCCGCATCTGCTGGACCTTAACTACCCTTCCTCTCAGCCCCATCATCATAAGAGGGGCCTTAATCAGTAGAACAGGGGCTGCCACATAGGATTACCTGAACTCTCTGTGAAGAAGGGACCCTAGAATAAGCCTAGATAGTGGATCCGTGCTATAAGCACCGTGAAATAGCAGGGGACCCCTAATTCACAGACCCTTCCCAGTAGAAACAACATGAAACAACTATGCAGTCCTTTATGCGTTTCCCATGAACCTTTTAACTCCTTGTCGGAACCCCGTTAGAACCCCATTGAACAAAACGAGAAACATCATAAAACCAGCATTGAAACCTGCAAAAACCGCAAAGAAAAACCACTAAAGCAAAACCCTAAACCCTAAACCCTCAACCCCAACCCCCTAAACTCTCCGAGCAGCATGAGCCCGAGCTTGGACGCTAAGAGTCGATGTAGAGCCTTCCTGGAGCTTCGAAGTGAAGACCGTCTGGTAGTTTAGGGTTTAGCGTTTAGGGTTTAGGGTTCAGGGTTCAGGGTTTAGGGTTTAGGGGTAATTTAGGGTTTAGGGTTCAGGGTTTAGTCCCCCCGAACCCTAAACCCTGAACCCTAAGATCCCAATCGCATCTTGTCAGCCTGTTGATGCTTTGAAAGAACTTAGGGGCATCTCCTGGAAGTTCATAAGGGCCATACATATGTATGTATGTATGTATGTATGTATGTATGTATATATATATATATGGGTTCAGGGGGCTTAATGAAAAAATGTGGGATAGTCAACCAGTTCTGCGTACAGGTCTGCTCGTAGATAGACGTGAACCCTGCAGCAGTTGGTGCTTCCGTTCAGAAAGGTGGTGATCAGGATAATGACAGTCATCATCGTGAAGATAGCTATGATGGTGGCGTCGTCGATGATTATTATCATGGTGCTGATGACGGTGAAAAAACGAAGACGACAATTGATGCCAGTGATGAAAATGCTGGTTTTGGTGCCGTGATAACTTCCTGCTCTTACCACGTATTTGTTCTATCACTACGATCAATCACTACGATCATGATTGATACTATTTTTATCTACGCAGGGTATTCTGACTCCTCGTGCTGCCGCCAATCTTGCTCTTCCTCCTGCATTGATGGCTGGACATACTTACTCAATGCTGATTTGATGCTTTCTTGCACCAGTGGGGGCAACTGCGGCGACCATGACGACGACAACAACCATTACCACAACTACTATGCCAATGATGGTACTCTTCTTAAGGCTTTTTGCCTTTATTAGTCTTGCCCAAGAGTCTTGATCTCGGCCTTTCCCGTGTCAGACAGCGCTTCCAAACAAACCTGGGTGCAGGGGCCGGAAAACGATGCACACTCAGAGTTTCGTGTCTCCAGTTGTGGGTTCCTGCGCTTCATTTGGGAGTTTCCGACACTAGGGTCCCCTATTGTGGGAAACCCCCAAATTTGTAGGGATGTGACGGTTCAAGCTGTTCAGGACAAGGCAAGCTCTCAGTGATGGCAGCCATTTTTGCCACGGCCCACGTGAGTCTCTGGGATGTTTCGGTGAATCTAGGGGTCTTCATAGCTTCAATGGAACAGGGTCTTGGGGTAGACCACGGTGTAACTATGATAAAGACTAGTTTTGATCAAATTCCCTAGTTGAGGGACATGCCTTCGGCCATGAAGGGCTTCATGTGCTGATGTAAGATATTTCTCTATCTCTCTCTCTCTCTCGGTATATATATATATATATTATATACATGTGTATGTAAATACATAGATAGATAGCATGCATATTAGTACATATATATATATATACACATCCACATGTTATTCGCCTCGGCCCCGGCCGAAGCAGTCAGAGGTTCCTGTTCGGATTCCCTCTATTCCCCACCTCTTAGTCCCCTGCCAATGACACTAAACCCTAAACCCTACACCCTAAAACCCTAAACCCTAAACCCTAAACCCACTTTCAGCCGAGGCGTCCTCTGACAAGCTGATCGCTGGAAGCTCGCGAGCAAGGCAGATAGCCCAGCTTCGGCTGTGGACGACCTTCTGGCGCCAAACCTGGGCTTAGGGGGCCTTGGGTTTAGGGTTTAGGGGTTTGGGTTTACGGTTTAGGGTTTAGGGTTTAGGGTTTAGGGTTTAGGGTTTAGGGTTTAGGGTTTAGTTTGCGGTTTAGGGCCCTCGGGTTTGGAGGCGTTTAGGGCTTCTGGATGTCTAGGGCATGTGTAGGGTGGAGGGTTCATGTTCACCTGAACCTCTTCTCCCTCCAGGAGGTTCAGGATCGGGGGACAATATCTACGAAGATCCTGCGATGTGTTTTCAAGGGGCAGTTTAACGGTGGTCTTTGTCACTTCAGATTTAGATTCGCCTCGTCCTTCTCCCGATAGGGACACCCCGTTTCCATTCCTCTTTATCCCCTCTCCTGTGCCTTTTAAGCCTCAAGCACGGTTTAGGGTTTAGGATTTCGGGTTAAGTGACACAAATCTCAGCGATAGACCCGTTACGGCGCCCAGACCCTGATCGAACCGCGGGAATCCTGGAAAGAGCCCTTGCAGAAACCCATAAATCCTTGAAAGCACCCTGAAAGGAACCCTTATATACTTCCTCATACGGCGCTAATTTAAGCGGTAATGGCACCCTAAACCACTTCTAAAAACCCTGAAAGGAAACCCAGAACCCCAAGTAAAGCCTCAAACAAACCTAAACCCGGAAATCCTCGAGCCTTAAGTTTCGAGGAACCCCAGATTCCGCATCCCGAAAGCCATCAAAATCGCGCTGCCTTAACCCCTAAAGCATTCAAGGAACCCTAAATTTCAAATCTTAAGCCGTTGTCAGTGGGAACTGGTAGGAACCCTAGGCCAAACAAGGAACCCTAAACCCGACAACGGAAACCCAAATCCTAGACCCTAAACCCTAAGGAGCATCCTAAACCATACCTGTAGCCGAAAAGGACTACCTTTTTGGGGTTCCTTATTATGGTGCATTTATAAAGTTTCTTAACAACGGAGGTACAAGCATCCTAAACCCTAAACCTTAAGGAGCATCCTAAACTCTGAACCTAATTTTAAACCCTAAACCATCCTAAACCCTAATAAACCCTAATAAACCCTGTAAACCCTACAAACCCTAGAAAACCCTATAAGCCCTATACACCCTATAAACCCTAAACCCTTTAAAAAAAGGGAACCCGTAAGCCCCCGTTCTCCGAGGCACAGGAGCCGAAGCCTCGAGCCTCGCCAGATCCCTGCAGCCCAGGCTGTAAAGCGCATGGCCGTCGAGCTCTTCCATTGCCTAGAAGAGGCTCGGCTTAAGATTATCATGAGGGTCTATATTTACATATACATATATATATATATATGTATATATACACATGCATACATATGTGTATATATATATATGTAGAGAGGGAGAGAGAAAGAGAGAAATAATTTGGGGTTGAGGGCTTCGGAATCTAGAGCCTTTCCAGTGCCTCGAAGAGGGTTCGTTTAGGGGTGACATCAACGGTTCCGTAAGATGTAACACGGCAGTATAATGTCATACGATCGGTCCTGCCATGGCCTAAGGCTACTACGAAGGCTTGATGTCGGCAGGTTTAGGGGTAAGGGTTGTAGAGCTCTTCCATTGCTTTATGGCGCTGCTTCGAGTTCTACTAGGTTCATTCCGAGTTTGTAGGGTTCCTGCAATTGCAAGAGGCTTCCTTAAGGCATATAGCTCTTTCACACTTAAAGTATTCTCTTCAATAAGGATTCGATACGAGCTGTACAAGTTTTCTATGAGCTCGGCTGTTGCTTGGGGATCTGTCACGGGCGTTGTTTTAATCTTCGTAGACAAGAAGTGTAGGAAGAGAAGCTGGTCATGGTACTAGAGCGTACAGTGATTGCAACCGTGCTAAGCTTGCTTGTGTCATTCGCGCCGTGCCACTTCTTTTGCGCACTCATCATTGTACTGGTTCTTATTGCTCTTCATGTCGCAACTCCTGCCCCTAATTACCGACAGTATTGCAATGATGGCCACCGTTGGGGTGATTCAGCTGCAACATTACTTCTCACTCACGTACCGAGTATGCTTAAGGTAAGATAACAAACACAGTTGGTACTGTTCTTGTTCTTGATATGATATAAAAATGATGTAGCTTTTAGCACCACCACATCGGAGTTGTACTCTCTATGCACTTCACCTCCATCTCCGAACAACCTTCTTGGCTTTCGACTGCAGCACTGAGGCCAGAGCTCAACGGCTTGCGGTGGGTTCGTCGAGTATTGTTCCATTCTTTGCCGTCTCCATCGGACAAGCGGTGCAAGGAACGGAAGGGCGAATCTACGAAGGATGGGCTGACTGTCAAGGCTCTTAGTGTGCCGCGTTGCTGCATCTGGGAACTCAAGTAGGTTCAAGCGTCGAAATAATCAGGAACCCCCAAGACAGTATAGGTAATCATTTAGACCTCCATATTACATGCGCACCATTCTACCACTGGAGCCAGGCAGCGGCACAGGCTCCGGCTCCGTACGGAACAAGTAGCGCTGCCATAATTCTTGCGGGGTCGCAGGAGAAGTTGCTAGTTTTGTCGACGTCGTTGTCGCAAGAAACCTCCAAACCCTACCTGTAGTCTCCATTGTAGTTCTTTTTTTTGGTTAACCAAATTTATAATATAGGATCCTAACCATAAAATTGGTTAACCAAAAAAAGGAACTCCAATGGAGACTATAGGTAGAGGGCTGCCAGCCTCAAGGTGGCCACAGAGAGTCTGTAGTCGCTTGGAGGGAGCCTCCAACAACAGGTAATGTAGGGGCCTGTATCATTAGAGGCTTAGGGGTTTAGGGGTTTATAGG